GAAAGAACCCAATATGGATGGGGTAGCACTCGACATACTGTAAAGGCAGAGTAGGTCCCGCGAACTTACTACTCCCGGACTATCTTTCCTAGCATTAAATGATCGGGCTAACAACCTATGGATATATCTCAATGTAGGAGATTTCGGAGCAGAGTGCTCTTTGATTTGCTAGGGTCATACCGTGACTCATGGCTAATGCGTCTCCGATGATCCGCATAACCGGCGTTCATTGGTCAACTCATAGTATTCTTGGCTTGCTACAAACTCCCGAGAGTAAATACCCATATGGATGGAGAAGGCAGTGTAACTCATCCGTATCGACTTCCCATTCAATTTGAACTCGGAGTACATCATCAATATCCATGCCTTGAACCTTACCCCATATTGTGAAGGTTGAAAGCAACTCTAATGTCAAATCTCGATAAGCAATGGGCTAAATCCCAAAGAATCCGTCCTAACCACCGGTAGAGATCAAGCCTCGGACTTCCTACTCTAACCCTAGCATTTATAGAGCCCCTCAATCTATACATTTGTAGCTCTAAAAGGGTTTTCCCTGTAACAACTCATATCGATCTTTCTCGGCTCCGGATAATTTTGGTATCCGTCGCCTAGGTGGTGGTCGGGGGTTCTTCGCCGAGGTGAAATCTGTCTTGGGGGTTGGCTATACGAGCCCTCATCTTCGTTGTCTCTTCCTCAAAGGAATCTTCTTCCTTTGCTCGAGGTCCCTCCGGAGTTCTTATCATTCTCTTAATTCTATCAAGCTTCAACAAGAAGCTTGTCCAAATCTATTTAACAACACATGAAAATCGAATGACATCAAACAATTTCATCGGATAATGCATAACGGATAATTCCTAGTATGGGCGATCTTCCTATTGACATTCGAATTGGATTAATAGATAATTTTTTTATAACAATGGCAGCTAGACAAATAATGAATTCAATCCAAATATAACAAATGGAAACTTCAAAAATAGCATCCCCGGCACTTCGTGCTAAGCATATTCATCAATCACATCCCTCACAGGGAATTCATCGAATAGGTAGTGTGCGGTTGTGTTAAGCAATAATTCTACACTTATGTGCATTATTTACCACAACCCATGCAATGATATTTACACACCGAATACTACCTAAAACTACCAGCCAACACATGCTTCAACGACACAACAATGAATCAAATACCGGATTGTTTAAAAACCAAACATCCAGAATAAAATAGACCCCAACACCGAAATTAAAAATGGATTCACACATCTATGGCCTTAATTTCTCTCATACTCAACAACACAACCAAACATATGGGAAATTATCAAAACCCATTGTGATTCAACACTAAAAATAAAGGTTTTAGAGATCAAACTCGATTGGGGTCTCGAGAGATTAGAGTAGAGGCCGAGTAATGGTGAATGGATATGTGCTTGTGATAACCATAAGTGAGTGTGTGGTGGTGGCGACGGGTCATGGTTGGGGAAGTGAGGGAGAAGGGTTTTGATTCAAGCACAAAATCGAATGGGTTTGAAAGAGAAGAAAAAATTTGAAAATGTAAACCCTACTATCGACGTCATGCCTTAAAAGGCCATTACACGAGCTACTACACGACCGTGTCTTAGGTCGTGTCTTTCCGGAGTAACCCAAAATGTGATAGACAATTACACGGGCTAACTACATGCCCATGTATTAAGCCATGTCTTTCCAATGCACACCAAATCGTGACGAGGAGGTTACATGGGCTAACTACATGCTCGTGTATTTAGTCGTGTCTTTCCGAGTGAACACCAAATCATGACAAAAGGTTACACGGGCTAGCTACACGCCCGTGTATTTAGCCGTCTTTCCGGTGAACACCAAAATCAAACAGACAACTACATGAGCTTAGACACAGCAGTGTCTTAGGTCGTGTCTTTTGATTGAACCCCAAAGTAGATAGATTGTTACATGGTTAGAGACACGGCCATGTCTTAGCCCATGTAACGTTCGTCTCACCAAAATTTATTTTTTTTTTGAAGAAATGAACACAATATTGAAACATAAACTTGGGTTGCCTCTCAAGAAGCGCTTGTTTAACACCATTAGCTTGACGTTCTTTAAGTTCATGGTTCTATGGGTTGGAGATTAAAGTACTTTCTACCAAGGTTGTCAATATCCCCTCCGAGATATAACTTCAATCGATGACCATTTACCTTAAACATACCTTTATCCGAATGTGTGATTTACGTGGTGCCATAGGGAAAAACTTATCATACCGTGAACGGCCACGACCAACAAGATTTAAGCTTATCGGGGAACAATCGAAGATGGGAGTTATATGAAAGTACTTGATCTCCCTTTTTGAAAAGTTTGACTTGTTTAATGTTACGATCATGATACTTGCTTGGCCCTTTCTTTACACGGTTTCGCATTCTCATAGGTCGCCAAACGCCATTCTTCAAGCTCATTGATTTGAACTTGTTTTCTCCTGGAAGATCAAGGTTAAAATTGATAGACTTGATTGCCCAAAATGCTTTATGTTCAAGTTCGACCCGTAAGTGGCATGCTTTATCATACACTAACCTATAAGCTGTGGTGCCTATAGGTGTTTTTTGTATGTTGTTTTATAAGACCATAAAGCATCATCTAGCTTTTCCGACCAATCCTTTCTATGGTGCTCTATGGTCTTTTCTAGAATCCTTTTCAGTTCCCTATTAGCTACTTCGACTTAGCCACTTGTTTATGGATGGTAAGAGGTAGCTACTCTATGTGTAACACCATACTTCATAAGCATCCTAGAAAATTAAGTGTTACAAAAGTGTGTGCCCCTATCACTTATAATTGCTTTGGGTGAACCAAATCGTGAAAATAACTTTTTCAAAAACTTTACCACCACCCTAGCATCATTAGTGTGTAAAGCCCGAGCTTCAACCCATTTAGACACATAATCAATTGCCACAAGAATGTATTTATGACCACTTGAAATAGGAAAAGGACCCATGAAGTCAATGCCCCAAATATAAAAAATTTCACAAACTAGTATATAATTTTGGGGCATTTCATCACGTCAAGAGATGTTACCCGATCGTTGATAATTATCACATGATTTCACATACCATTGGGCATCCCGAAATAATGTAGGCCAATAAAAACTCGACTCGATCACTTTTCGCGCTGTCCTGTTTGCATGGTAGTGTCCATCGGTGGGTCCTAAATGGCAATGATCTAGGATTTTGCATCCCTCTAAGTAGGACACACATCTCCGAATAATCTAGTCCGCACGGATCTTAAAAAAATATGGATCCTCCCAAATGTAGTTCTTTAATTCAAAAAAAAATTTCTTCTTTTACCGATGAGTGAGTCCCTTAGGAAGGATCTTAGCGACCAAATAATTAGCTATGTCGGCAAACCACAAGGTTTCAAGCTCACTTACCTGTTTAATGCTGTAGAGGCATTCTTCCGGGAATGCATTATTGATCTCCTCCTCAACAAGATTCTCCAAATGAGGGTTCTCTAATCAAGATAGGTGGTTTGTGGCCAAGTTCTCGGCTCCCTTTTTATCTTTGATTTCTAAATCAAATTCTTGCAACAACAAGATCCACCCGATCAACTCCGGGTTTAGCATCCGCTTTGTTCAACGAGCTATCTCAATGCGGAATGGTCGGTGTAAACAACAATCTTGGATAGGACTAAGTAAGATCTAAATTTATCAAACGTAAAAACTACAACTGGCAATTCTTTTTCCGTAGTAGTATAATTCTCCTATGCACCAGTCAAAGTGTTGCTAGCATAGTAAATAGGTTGAAAATGTTTATCTCTTCGCTGTCCAAGAACTGTACCAACTGCAAAATCACTAGCATCACACATTATTTCAAAGGGAAGATTCTAATCCGGGGTAACCATTATTGGGGGATTAATCAATTTTTCTTTTAGAGTGTTAAAAGCATTTAAACACTCTTCTTCGAAAACAAAAGCCGCAACTTTCTCAAGCAACTTGGTTAAAGGCCTAGAAATTTTAGAAAAGTCTTTTATGAATCTTCTATAAAAGCTCGTATGACCCAAAAAACTTCTAATATCCTTAACCAAAGTTGGGAGAGGTAGTTTTTCAATAGTTTCAATTTTTGCTCTATCTACCTCAATCCCCCTATAAGAGATTTTATGGCCTAAGACTATACCCTCTTGTACCATAAAATGACATTTTTTCCAATTTAAAACCGAGTTAGTTTCTTTACACCATTCAAGCACTCTTTTTAAATAATGGAGACATAAATCAAAAGAATCACCGAAAACAAAAAAATCATCCATAAATATCTCCATCCTGTTCTCCATCGGATCATCAAAAATGGCCATCATGCACCTCCGAAACGTAGCAGGTGCATTGCACAACCCGAATGGCATCCTTCTATAGGTGAACGTGCCATAGGGACACGTGAATGTAGTCTTTTCTTGGTCTTCCGGGTTATAGGGATCCGAAAGTAGCCCGAAAGACCATCTAAGAAACAAGTAATACATGTGTCTCACTAGTCGTTCTAGCATCCGATCAATAAATGGGAGAGGAAAATGGTCCTTTCCAATGGCATCATTCAACTTTCTATAGTCGATGCACACTCTCCATCCGGTGACTTTTCTTTGGAACAACTCCGCATAGGGCTCACCCAAGAACTATCGAAATAGGGTAAATCACTCCCGCATTAAGAAGTTTAATTACCTCGGTTTTCATAACTTCCTTCATATTTGGATTAAGCCTCATTTGAGGTTACACCACTAGCTTAAAATCATCCTCCATCAAGATTTTATGAGTGCAAAAAGAGAGGATAATTCCTCTAATGTCCGAAATGTTCCAAGCGATAGCCCTCTTATGCTCTTTCGGAACATCTAACAACTTTTTCTTTTGATCCACCTTTAGCTTGGAAGAAATTATTATCGGTAACTTTGAATCTTTTTCAAGAAACACATACTCTAAGTGTTCCGATAAAGTTTTCAATTCCAAACTAGATAGATCCTCAATAGAGGCCTTTAATCTCTTTTCTTTACCTCTCGTCAATCTCCTCAAACTCCTTCTTCCGAATCATGAACTCATTAGCTTTCGGACGAGCTACTTGCTCAACTCTAATGGGGTCATCCCCATCATTCTCCTCACCTTGAATCATACACAGCTTCAATCGATCATCATATATAATTTCCCGCATAGATTCTAAAGCTGTAGTGTCAATAGCATCGATGAAATAACATTTGTCATCATGTTCAAGGGAATGTCTCATAGATTTTGATATGAGAAAAGTTACCTTTTCATCCCCGACCCTAAGAACAAGCTTACCATCACTAACATCAATAATGGCTCTAGCAGTAGCTAAAAATGGTCATTTTAGGATCAACGATACTTCTACATCCTCATCCATATCAAGTATAACAAAGTCAACTAGGAAAATAAATTTATCTACCTTAACCAACGCATCTTCAATTTTACCTCTAAGGTATTTAACAGATCTATCTCGTAACCGTAAGCTCATTCTTATCGATTTAGGTTCTCCCAACCTCAGTTTCTTGAACATTTTATAAGGCATTAAATTTATACTAGCCCCAAGGTCGGCTAATGCCTTTTCAACTAACAAACTACCAAATGAGTAAGGAATAGTAAAACTCCCCGGGTCTTGTAATTTTTGAGGTAGCTTGTTTTGCGGGATAGCAGAGCACTCCTCACTCAATTCCACTGTTGATGACTCTTCCAACTTCCTCTTGTTTGAAAGAAGTTCTTTAAAAAATCTAGCATACTTTAGCACCTACGAGAGAGCTTCAACAAAAGGTATATTTATATGCAGCTATTTAAAAAGTTTAAGAAATTTACCAAACTGTTCATCCATGTCGTCCTTTCGTATCTTTACAGGATATGGAACGGTAGGTTTGCGATCTTTCACTGGTGGAGGTTACTCGCTAACTTTTTCCGGCTCTTTACTCTTTTCGACTATTTTCTCTTCTTCACATCTAAAAGAGATCGCCTTCACATGATCTCTAGGATTAGTCTCGGTATTACCAAGTAGGCTACCTTGTTGCCTCTCGGAAAAAGACTTGGCAAGTTGACCAATTTGCTTCTCAAGGTTATGGATAGAAGCCTCTTAGTTTCTCAATGTTGTTTTAGTTGCTTGAAATCGAGAATCGGATGTTTGAATGAACTTAGTCATAAGTTCTTCTAAACTAGGCTTTTTCTCCCGAGATGAGTTTCTGCTGCTGAAATCCAAGTGGATGATTCTATCTTTCTTCGTTCTTGACCTCCCCAAGAGAAATTAGGGTGATTTTTCCAACCCGGATTGTAAACATTATTGTCCGGGTTTTTTTAGTACGAGGTGCATTACCCATGTAATTAACTACCCCTTGCAATCCCGGCTCAAATGTCCTTCTCCACATAACTCACACTGCATAACCTCGAACTAGTTATTAGACTTTAATAGACCATCCATCTTCTTACTCGAGCCTCCACTCGAGCTACCCGAGTCGTGAATGCTTCTACATCATAAACATCTGTTGGCTTATTTGGTTTTGTTTTAGTTGTGCTCCACTCGGTAGTTATTCATAGCCATTTGCTCTATCAATTCTCGAGCTGCATCGGGTGTTTTGTTATTCGGAATGCCTCCAATTGCTGCATTTATCATTTGCCTAGTAGCTAGATTCGGACCACTCGTAGAAAGTCCGAACATGCATCCATGTAGGTATGCCATGGTATGGGCATCTCCTCAACAAATCCTTAAACCGCTCTCATGTGTCATAAAGCATCTCTAACTCAATCGTGCAAATGAGGAGATATCATTCCCGAGTTTTGTAGTTTTTGCAGGTGGGAAGTATTTTGCTAGGAACTTCTCTACCATTTGGCTCCGGGTAGTAATAGATCCCTTAGGTAGAGAGTTCAACCACTCGCTTAGCTCTACTCCTCAATGAGAATGGGAACAATCTCAATCGATGGCGTCATCCGTAGCCCCATTATCTTGAATGTGTCACGGATTTCCAAAAAGTTGGCCAAGTGAGCATTCGGGTCATTGTCTTGCAATCTGTCAAATTGTATAAATTGTTACACCATTTGGATGATGTTCAGTTTGATCTTAAAGTTATTGGCCACAATAGTTGGTCCGATAATGCTAGACTCTGTTCTTGTCAAATTTGGTCTAACATAATCAAACATGGTTCTTTCTTCCTCATCCATGACTATATGCGGTTCTCCTTCCCTCTAATGTTCTTCTTCTCTTTCCCTATCCAACTCTTATTCTCTTTGTCAAAATCGATCCCTAAGGTTTTAAATAATTGTTCTTTCTATTTCGGGATCCGGCTCAACTAATTCGAGTTAGGTTGTTGCGAGTCATACATTAATCGGCTCCCGAAAAGGTGGCACGAACAAAGAAAAGCGTAATTCAAAGAAATTATGATAAAGAAAAACGAAACTAAATATTATATAAAAATAAATTAATTAATTAACTAAAATGGTTAGATTAATAAAAAAAATAAAGTTTTCCAAATATCCTAGTCCCCGTAATGGCGCTAAAAACTTGATAGCCCTTTTCTTAACCTATAGACTTTAGGCAAGTGTACCTATCGTTCTATAGTATAATTGATAGAGTATCGAGTGTCGATCCACAAAGACTAAGAGTACTAGTAATTACATCCTATTTATTATCTAACCGATGAATTATAGTGATAATGAATCAAATAAAAGTACTCGATAATTAAGGCAAGATTACAAAATTGCTATGAGAATAACAATAATAACCAGATGAGTAATGAATGGTGAAGGTAGTACCTAGATAGCGAATCCCCTATAGATCTTCTATGTAGTCGCGATATATTTTATTCAATCATTCTTTATATTCATTGGATTATAGGAATTCTCGAATTATGCTAAGTGCTTTCTCAATTTAAATAACATTTAATCCCAAGTTGATTAATTGAAATCTCTTTCTAATTAACACCCACAAGATCACGTTAATTTGTTCTATGAATCCCTTTATTAGATTTGACTCTAATCCAAAGGATTTATGTCGTCCTATCTCTAGGATTGCATGCAACTCCTTCCAATCATGGTTGATCTAATCATAATTAGGACTTTTCGATCTTACGAGTATGAAATCGGATATGAATTTACATGCTAGCTTATGTTAACTCAAATTAATAAGAAAAGTGACATAACTGAATCATAATAAAAATAACGATTGAATTGAATGAAGATATCAAATTACATAGTTAATCTCGGGATTCATCGTATCTAGGTACCAACATGATTTAGTTCATGATCAAAACAAAGAATACATAAATCTTAAGCGAGAAAACAATTCGGATTAAAGGAAGGAATTTTAACCCTTTTGATCTTGAGGCAATCTCCTTCAAAATTTATGAAAATTCACTCCAACGGCATCATCTTGCTCAAAAACCTTAGTTCTTTTCGTGCTTCTCGGTCATCCTTTCATCATCCCTTTTCCTAGGTTGAGTTTCTCATTAAATAGGAGTAAAATATCCATTTCATAAGATACGGCCAAGTACACGACCGTGTCTTTGTCCATGTAGTACGGATGTAGTTTTTCTCAAAGTAGATGGTTACACGTCCTAGTACATGGTTGTGTATTGGACCGTATAACTCTCTATTTTACGTATCAGCTCTTTTCTATTTACATGGTCGTGTAACTCATTTGACATTCGAAACTCATCAATTTTTGCTCCTTATTGCTTTGTTTCCATTCCTTTTTATCAAAATAATGTAGTACGACTCGCGAGCATAATTTAGACATGATAAGTTCCAAACTTGTACCATTTATCACCCAAGGTAATTGAAATATAGGAACTTTTAACACTAAAATTATGCATAATTTGGTGCTTATCGGGATCCTAACCCACTAAGAAAACAAATTGAAAAGTTTTCTTGAGTACTATATTGAAGGTTATAGAACTTGAAGAAAATAGTGGGAGCGAATATAGATTTTATTTCTTTAATCGAGCAAGAGGGAGAGAGAGAGAGGGAGGAAGGAAGGGAGATAGAGTGAGAGAAAGAGAGAGAGAGAGGGAGAGAAGGGGAGAGAGAAAGAGAGTAAAAGAGAGGGGCAAAGAGGGAGGAAGAGAGAGGGAGTGAGAGGGATTAGGAGAGAGTGAGAGGGAAAAGGAGAGAGAAAGAGAGGGACGGAGATAGGGGGAAAGAGAAGAGAGGGAGAGAGAGACATAGAAAGAAAATAAGGAGAGTTAGAGAGGGAGAGAGAGTAGTAGGAAAGAGAGGGAGTGAGATTGATAGGGAAGGGAATAGAGAGAGGTAAATAGGGAGATAGAAAGTGAGAGAGTGAGAGGGAGGAGAGGGAGAAAAGGAGGGAGAGAGAGAAATAGAGGGAGGGAAACAGAGGGAGTGAGATAGAAAAAGAGAGATAGAGAGAAGGAGAAAGAGGGAGAGAGATAAAGAGAGGGAGAAATGGAGAGAAGAGGGTGAAAAAGGGGGAGAGAGATAGAGAGAGATTTGGATGGGAGACCGAGAGGGAGAGGTAGAGAGGGAAGATGGGAAGGAGAGAGAGGGAGAGAGAGTGAAGGGGAAAGAGGGAGGGAAAGAGGGGGAGAGAGGGAGAGAGAGAGAGAGTGAGAGAGAGCAAGAGAGAGGGGGAATGAGAGAGAAAGAGAGGTAAAGTGAGAGAAGGAGAGGTAAAGTGAGAGAAGGAGAGTGGAAGAGAGAATAGGGGGAGAGAGGGGGAGGGTGAGAAGGAAATGGAGAGAAAATGAGAGGGATAAAGAGGGAGAGAAGAAGAGGGTGGGAAGGAAGGAGGGGGCAAGAGAGAGAGGGAGAGAGAGAAAGAGGAAGGGAGAGAGTGAGGAAGGTAAAAGGAGGAAGGGAGGGGAGAGAGTGAAAGACGAAGGAGAGAGAGATAAGAGATAGAGATTGAGGGATTTAGAGAGAGAGGGGAGAGAGGAGAAGATGGAGAGAGAGATAACGAGAGAGAGAGGGGAAAGATAGAGGAATAGAGGGAAAGAGAGAGAGATAGAGGGAGAGAAAGGATAAAAGGAGTGAAAGAGAAAGGGAGAGGGAGAGTAATGCCTCTAGCTCCCTTACCAATTTCCTAAGAGTCGTGGCTATTTTGTTACATTATTAAGACTAAAATCCCAACACACTTCCATAATATATAATCATGGAGTGCATATAATACAATTTACATACCATTAATAAATACAGTTATAGGAAATTATAAAACATTTAAGATGCCCTTTATCCACTAATAGACATCATACCCCCTAATTTACAATTAAAAGAGAATCCTATATTTTTAGGTAACACATGAACCTCTTTTAGTGAGAACCGAAAGCATCCTCGACCGAATTATTTTTTCCCTTACTTGTTACACC